CCAGACTGAATCTAACTTCCCAAGTCAGCAAACCACAACACCGTGAATTCCTTAAGGTGGTGCCAGTCTCATCTTCTTAAACTTCCCACTCTCCTGTGGAGGGCTAAGGGAATGCTTATCTCCTCAAGCGTGGCTTCATCCAACCATTCCTTCACATCACCCCTCCCTCCATCTCCATCCTCCCCCTCGGAGTTCTCATGAGAACTCGGCAAAGGTGGTAGAGATGAAAGGTCAGGTGATGATGGTCTCTCCTTACCTTCTGGCTCTTCCTTCCCACCATTCTATCGGTCCTGGAAAACAGCTCCAACATTAGCAGAATCAGCCCCCCTCCCCCCTACCACATGCAAACCTGAAGTGGAAGGCTGCGGACTGCTTGCTCCAGCCCGCTCCTCCCCTAAAGCCCCCACCAAACCTTCCTCCAGCATGCTGCCCCCGCCCTCTTCTTGCTGATTAACCACTGGCGCGCCGGGCAGCACTCAAGGCTTCAGCTTGCTGGGGAAACGTCTATGGAAGTCAATGACCAGCTCGGGGGCATGAATGTTCCTTGTATTCTCCCAAGAACGCTCTGCTTCAGGATAGCCCTTCCAATGAATCAGATACTGAATTCCCTTTCCTCTCCTGCGAGAGTCCAGGATTGCCTCCACCTCTTATTCCTCCTCTCACTGGATCTCCAAAATGCCCCCTGAAGGCAGCTACAAAAATTTGGTAGTTGTTGAGCACTGGATCACCTGTCTCTGTGAGAGGAGTCACCCACTTGGCTGCTGCGCCCTTCAATAAACTCATCACAAAAGCCACTCTTGTTCGGTCTGTAGGGAACTCTCCCTGTCTGCTGTCATGAACAACTCGCATTGTGCCAAGAAGGTTCTCATCTGCTCCACCTCACCTCCATACTTCTTAGGCATGCTACCAGGTGAACGTAGCAATATCAGTGGCGGGGGAGGTGGTGGCTGGGCTCCCAGTGTGAGCTGTTGTATTAACTGCCCCATAGCTTCTTGGAGATTATTAATCTGGGCATCCGCTTGCTGTTGATGTTGTAGCAGGGCTGCTGCCAACAACTGGGGTGTCAGATTTGCCCCCTGGGGATCCGTTGCCATATTCCAATTCCCCCCTCTCGATGGTAGTATGAGTCTGGAGAGATTGATGTCAGGTTCAGCCCAAAGAACTCCCTGAGACAGTGCAGATACAGTTCTGATGCGTTTATTAGCTTCCAGCTCAAGATAGAATCTCTCCAGACTGAATCTAACTTCCCAAGCCACCAGGCCAAAACACCATGAATTCCTTAGGGTGGTGCCAGTCTCATCTTCTTAAACTTCCCACGCTCCTGTTGAGGGTTAAGG